CGTGGCTTTAGTTGAATTACAAACTCCTCCTTTGCATCATCCTCAGCAAACATACTTAAGTTTATGGCCGTGTTTATGTGCCGTTTAACGACTCTTGATACGCACCGCAATGTTGTTGTGCTTATTTGGATCATTTTCGTATTAGGGGAAAGAGATTGAAGACTTGTGGAGCTGTAATCGGCTCGTAAATAAGGCTATTTATTCATTTGTTTTCTGTTTAACTTTAAATAAAATTAAGATTTGTTAATATTATGAGTTAATTTTAGAAAATTAAGCTGCCAAAAAATCATTCGCAACGCGAATATGTAAGAGGCAATTGTCAATATATATTAAAGACAGGGTTTTCAAAATTTTACTAAAGAAATAACCACAAAAATTACTTGCAATGCTTTATATTCATATGCTAAGATTCTGGTATTCTAATATAAAGAACAGAAGAAACGCGATTTTTCAAACCAATCTGGTTGATTATCTGACCTTTATATGAAGATACATTTGTTTTGACTCAAGTACTCAAATTGAAATTTCAGCTCTCCACTGATGATTCTTAAGAGACTATTTAAAATCTAAATTTCTGGTTAGTTAAAGGGTTATATCCACTTTGAGTTTCAAAAAATCATATTTTTATTCATATATCGAAGGTACATATATGTACTTGAGAATATTCACTGATTTCAAGTGGATCCGGCAAATAGTTTTGAAGATATGAGCGTATTTGTAGGAAGTTCCAACTTAGTGTAAAACTAATTTTTCTCGAAACGCTTTTACCAGAGTCGTTGAGAAAAGATTATCTAAAATGGCTGGACCGATCGACTTCAACAACTTTCTTACGACCTTCTTAGATATGTTTGTCAGGTAATAATCGAAGGAATAAGATATTTTATGATAATGTCGATTTTTTAAGCCAATCAAAAGTGTAAATTTTTGATATACCGTCATTTTGTAAAAATCTAAATTTTGACTAGTCCTTCGATCATTGCCTGTATTCATCTATAGTAATATTATTTTTTTTTGGTTTTTAGATTTCAGATAGCTTTTAGCAGAAAAATCTGCCTCATCGCCAAACGCTTTTTTTCGGAGCTATTAAAATACATTAAATTCTGTAATTATACATTTTTTTATTTATTTATTAAATAAAACGTCTCCTCATATAATAATAATAATAATAATAACAAAAATGCCTAGTTTCTAACTTGCAAGATTGTGGATATAACCCATTAAGAAGATTGACAGCTCTTTCATTAGTCTGTAACCAGTATCTACAGTATAGAATATGTCGAGTTCTTCTGACAGATAGCTTAAAACTATCTTAAAGTTCTGAATGATGCTGCACATTATCATTGGCAATAATGATGGCTATAATATTGATCATGATGATGTGATAATATATATATGACTAGTAATGGATCGGCAAAAGAAAATAGAGACTGGGAGATATTGAGTAATTCGAAGAATATCTCCGCATTCACGACGTAATCTATATTGAACGATAGATGATGGAAACAAAAGCAGCTCCCACACAGTATTTACCTCTACATGAAACACTTAAATTCAAATATTGGGCAGATAGAGTCGTATATAACATATGCAAAAAAGTTAAAGGGTCTATTCGATAAATAGATCATAATAATTTTTCGGATATGAACCGATTTATGTATGTTACAACCGATTGGGTCACAATATAATCGTCGGAATGTCGTTCCGTTAGCGCAGTTATAATTTAATCCACAAATTATCCATGAGGGGAAACGCGAAATTATATTAAACATATTTTATCATTCAAAAATTTCTTGAAAACGTTGGTAAAATACCGTTATTTTAGGATCCACATATATTAACTTTTTTATTAAGATTTATTGTTTGTAATTACTAATTATAGGATGTAACACTTGCTTTTGATCTAAAGGGAAACAATAGTTCAATTCATATGAACATATTCCCTTTCGTATGAACATACATACATACATATGCACATATTTATTCATCGCACTTGTCGACGCACAATGAATTAATTTGACAATATTAACAAATTAAACTGTTGAACGAGCATACATACACACATATACACAGCTACAGGCATAAGTGTTACAACTTCATGCACTTTGTTAACATCATTTGTAATTTATCCCGCTCAGCAGGCAGTCTGTCCGTCCGCACACACACATTTAGCCACTTTTCATCGACGTAAGGTCTCGACGTAGTGTTGTTGCCCTGTTATTCGTAGGTGAGATTCGGCGTGCGCGTTGCCACCACAGCAGCCAAATTCCGTGTACACAAGTGTTCGTGTGTGTTTCGTTAAATAAGATATATTGACCCTGCAGTGTGAAAGGCGAACACGACGTAGGCACAACTGTATATGTGTGCTAATGTTTTTTGTTGGCGTTAGCGTACGTGCGCGGGAGGAGAATGACAAGTTGCATTACGCACTTAACAGTATTTATTCTACACACTCCAACTCAACTCGTGAGTGCTAAAATTCGCACAATATTTAGTTGAGGAAATCTCTTATAAAGATGAAGAACTTTTATTCTGATATTTTCTATATTTTATTCTAAATCAAATGTTACTATTAACAGTTACTATACAATGGTTGATCTTTATATTATTGACTTTGAGTTGTTTTATTTTCTGTAAGATCATATTTAACGGTGAATTAAAATAATTATAAGGCGAATGTTTACTGGGTAAACTGTTCTCCATCAACTCAAAAATTAAAGGAAGAAAACTCGCGGTTGCTGCCGATATACAGACGAATCGGTAAAGATCTGCCAAAATCAGTTATTGTACAGATGGCGAAATGAGCAAGATCCTCGTATACCGTTATATTGAGAAATTCGTAGCCACTAGTGTGACAAGCTTCGACAAGCGTATTTTTACAAGCATCGTTTTACGTAACTATGAAGTGATAGTGTGTCTACTATTAGATTAGAAAATTCAGTGTTCCACTATTTAATCGAAGGACATATGTCTATGTATTTGTGAAATTCGTAGAAAGAACTCAATGGCATCAATATTTCCTAAGATATTGTGAGTTCTCTCAAATAGCTATTGTAAGACATTTTGACCATATTCAAAGCTTTCACTTCCTGAACCATATAATATGTGTTCTCAAACCAAAACCCCAAAGAAAAGTCCTCTTTTCCTGACAGATCCAAAAAAAAAAAGTAATAAATGTGTTTCGATTCCAAAAGGAACACTTTTTAAAGTCTTAAAAAAATTTAGCAAATGAAATATTTAAATAAACAAAAAATTTTTTTATGAAAATAACAGTTTTCAGTCTCTATAAATATCATAGAAGAATAGCTAAGGCGCTTAAGAATTTCGTATCAGAAAATAAAAGTTTTAGAGTAAAATATTATAATTACTTTTTTGAATATACATAGTAGGTATACATATTTATACTATAAACACACTTCGCATACAAAAATATTTCATGAGATTTTATGTGAGAGCAGTGGTAATGAAAAACCATTTTAAATGCTGCAGGATATGTGTAGAACCGGTGATATGTGTGCTTCCTAGGCATGACATTTTTTTCATTTTCTTTGCGCAAAAAACATGCAGTGGTGCAACCTTAAACTTAACTCCTGCTTTGGATTACAAACTAAAGCAGCAATGTCAAAATCAACAGCGTGTTTTCCTTCTGCGTTTGCCAACCCCAGAGCAAAATAGGGAGACAGCAAAATATTTTGACAAATGAATCCAAATAACAGGTTGCAAACGCACTCGGCCTTTTCGTGCTTCTCAGGTTGTGGCAGGCCGTTTTCTTTTTCCTTTTACACAATGAAGGTTGGAAGACTTGGGTACTGTGCCAAAGTCAGTTAACCGTCGCTCTAACTGACTGGTAGCAAATATTTTCTTCCCATTGAAGAGTTGTTAAAGAATTGAGAATTGTTGGTAACTGCATTACCTTACACAGCCGAGCGGCAAATAAAGACCGGCCCGTCGGTCACTGACGGCGGGATGGGCGAATCGCAAGGCGGTGAAAAAACAACGGATGGATGGTTGGCTTCCATACGTAATTTATTATTTTTTGTGCATATGTAGTATATATATATATATGTATGTTTGTGTGTGTACACGCGTTTTTTTTTTTTTTTAGTGTCGGAATCCTCGAAAGCATATGTTATTCATACATAATTTCGTACCTACAATCCCAAATACAAAGTGTACATCGTTGTCGGTAATTGGTCGACATGTTTCCGTCAAAAAACAGCGCGTCTAAAGAATAAATATGTTGATACCAATATAATTTTAAGAAAGTAAAAATACGAACGCGCACAGATACCTAACATACACAGGCACGAACAACGCTCACATTCTGTGCGCAAGCGAAGTCAGGTCGGGATCGCAGCAGCAGAATTGGTCGTTCGCAGCCACAGCCGCAACCTTCACGTGTGCAGCCACGAAAATTGTTACAAATGATCGCAAATAACAGATCTTTTGCCGAATGCCGCCGTGCAACCTCAACCAACAAAAACGTTGACGAAATGCGTACAGTCGTTTGGGCAATGGGATCGGACAGTTGACTGGGAATATTTTAAATGTTGGATACTTTGACGGTTCATCAAAGATACCGTCTGTCCGTCAGTTACCTCATCATTGATCACTATGCATGGAGCAGCAATGTTGGCCGTATATCGATTGTGGCTTAATTCTAGACCGACTGCGAAGCGGATTGGGCGCCGGGCACGATTTTAGGCAACATACAGTTGCTGCAACTACATATACCACGTATTTGTTGTTATTATTATGATTATTATGTTAGTGTATATTGTTCTGATTTATTGATGGATAGCATGTACATAGGGTAGTACATGCAACAGTTAAGCGTATGTGTGTACTTGCGTCACACTCATTTATAGACACTTACATGCATATATAAGTACAAGTATATATTTGAAGCTTGCCCTCATTACCAGCTAGCTCTGTTCAGCCAAAGCAATTTTATTAAAGTAATTAATCTTTACGCTTTACTTTGCGTGCTACTAAGCACTTACCTTGATTGTTGTTATTTTGACTTTTTCGCGATGTCTTTTTCTCCTTCATCCATGGGTACTCGGGTACCGAATCCATGCCGTCCGCCGTTTGTGGCACACCAATACCAACGCCAACCGGATATCCGCCACCACCGACAGGTGTACCCATCTTCGGACTCTCCGGACTCAGATGGTTGAGAAACTCAGCCATGGACGGTTGTGAGTTGATGAAACCCCCCTCGGAGGCGGCCATCCAGTACGCTGTATCGGCAGCGGTCACACGTTTATCACAGTTGGTCGGTCCCATTTTGCTGACAAGCATGGCCGCTGATGGCGGCGGCGGCGGTGGCTGTGGCACTAGAGGCATTTGCGCCGGCGCTGAAACCGACACGGGCACCACCGTCGGTGCCACCGGCACTATTGGCACTATCGTCTGGCCCGTGGACACATGCAGCGCATTCAATGGCGATTCGGATTTGATTTGTGCGCCCATTTGGGGGTCCAAGCTGTTGCACACTTCTTGCATTTTTCTACACACAAAACAGTTGTTAATCGATCGCACCAATTAGTTACTCAGTTATCACAATAGCACTACACTACACTACACTACAGCAAATGTTAGAAGTATCCACATTCATTTATAAATCATCACTTAAATTTTGTGTGCAAACAGATTCGTGGCTGTGTGATTTCCATTGTACTGCCTCACCTGAAACAAGAGAGATAAAAATGGAAAATGCTATAATCATCTGAAATCAATATTTTTGTACAAATGACTAATGAATTTTCGCTATCCCACACCGATTTAAGCCTGACTCGGAGCTGTTAGTGTGGTGTTATGGACATATGTACAAGTATATAATTTGTATTTTGCTACTGGTCTCTTTCCGGCCAAATGCTTAATGATCATATATTGTTTATTTTGTTAACTGTGTTGTAATGAGAGCTTAACGTAGTCATCAGGTGTCTCACCCATTTCAGATCAGATTTAAATTGTAAACCAAAGTTTTTGAATTTATTGTATAAAGGCAAACCGAAAATTAATATTAGTTAAATGTGATAATATGAACGTTCATTTCAATTAAAATTTACATCACGTAAAACTATAAATAATTAGCAATAAAAAGGAATAAATTGGGCGGAACCGAAACTCTCCACAAACACAAAAATTTAAGGTGTGTGAAATTGTAGCCATTTTTGGTGGAAGCTTCACTCAATTACTAAACTGAGTTTAATTTAGTTAGCTCACTTAAACACATATCTCATATGTCCACACTAACGGCAATATGACAGATGATAATTAATATATAATTATATACCATATTATTCATATTAGACCTAGGTCAAGATTCTATATCAACAATTTTCAGTAACAAATAAAATTTTGATTGAAATTATCACTTTTGAGAGATAAACTCGTATACTAACCGATTTACAATGGCAATAATTAACCAACATTTAAGAAAACATCAAATCACGGAATCCCAAAAGGAATCCTTTAAAATTTATGTATACTGTATATAAATGGTCAGCGTGATGAGCTGCGTTAATTTAGTCATGTCTGTCTGTCTGTCTGTATATATGCGAACTAGTCTTACAGTTTTTGAGATATTGATCTGAAATTATACATTCTTTGGAATAGCTTATATCGAACGACTATAGCATCTAGCTTTCATACAAACTGAACGATCAAAATCAAATTATTGTCTGAATAACCTTCTAATTTGAAAAGATATCTTCACTAAATTTGGCATGATTGTCTATGGCAACACTACAAAAAAAAATTATAGATCGGACCATTATAGCATATAGTTGCCATACAAACTGAACGACGAAAATCAAGTTCTTGTATGGCAACATGTTTATTTGTGAAAGGGAACAACCCCAAAATTAACGTTTTTTTCTCATTTTTAAGATATATTACACTCTAAGTACATATATAGAGCTTGAAGAAGGTTTGGATTGTTTTGATCCACTTATAACGGATGTGGCATTTTGAGGTAATTTTACCAAGAGAACTTATATGACAAATATTGTTTATATAATACGTAGGCTTATTCTGTTCATAGAACTCTACGATTACAGAGTAGTTGAACTTATAATCGATTACGGCATTCACGCATCGATTCTGATTCCAAAGACTGGCAATACTGGTTTCCTCAGAGTGTTCTCATACAATTTTTACTCGAGTTATCCGACACACCTAGCCATAAAGTTGTTCTTCTTTTGGTGTTTCATAATATAGTATTACGACGTTTTACTAGTCACTACTAGATTTTTTATCGCACTTACATTGAGATTATTGCTAGCTCGAATATTACGATATCGATCTGATGTGCTGATCAAGGCTGATCAGAGATTGTAATATATCAAACTTATATTTACAATATATTTTCAATACTAGTTTCAATAAATTTTTTCTCTAAGCTGTTCTTCCACCGTCAAACATTGGGCAAGACAAAAAACAAAACTTTTAGCTGATAAGGTTAATAATGATCAGAACTAAAGACCGATATTTGTGTCGTGTATATATATAAGCATGTATGTACATATACTCGTACGTATATTACTTTAATCTTCTTTATAGTTTTTTTTTTTTAGTATTTTCTTCTCTTACATATTTTCCACTAATAGTTCAGTAATACTATTCACAATATGGCCACTTTGTTATAATAACTAGCACTCTTAAGCTTTCAAGAAGATTGAGAATTTGAAAGAAGTTGGTTTGCACCAACAAATTTTATACAATTGCATGTATTTTTATCATTTTCTGCTCAATAGGAAAACCACTCACTAAAATCGAACGCGACAGCGAGTAAGCCGAACGGGGCGGCACTTTACAGAATGGCGTATTGTTTACTGAAGCGCAACGAAACCAAGCAGACCACCATTATCCACAATTACCAACACCAACTACCATCACTATGACACCCGTTGTGGCGTCTATGACGACGCCCGAACGAACAAGTGCCAAACAAATAGCGCGATAAAAGCTTAAGTTTTGCGGCGGCCAACGAGCTGCCAGCCAGCTTGTCAAACAAAGAAAATGTTGCTCACAGCGTTTGCGACAACATCTCACGACGACAATGGTAACAGGGTTAACGGATACTACTTGCATGGCAATGACAAACTTGCTTGTAGAGTACAAGATGTGGAGACAAAATGAAAACGTTTTGGAGACGTTTGGGGGTGGTTCGATGTTTGGAGAGTTGATGTTTTGTTGTAGCCTTGAAGCGACTAACGAAATACATGCGTCGATCATGTAAAACAACAACTCGTGCTGGTTGCAATTGTCAATGAATTAATGCAAGTGTCTACAAATAGAGAGTAGAAACTGACAAGAGCGACCCATTTGCGGAATTTTTACGCACCCTGTATGAAAAATATCAGAGATTGAATTTGTGCGTAAACAACTGAAAGTAGTGGCGTGGTGAAACCAAGTTTGGAAATAACGCTTAAATTTTCACCACCCAGCTATAAAAAAATAATATATTAAATAAGAAATAGGTTCTTCCATAACAAAACTTGTTTGAATGATAACGACTGCAATCAAATCATAACAAAATTTTTTTCTCCAAAAAAAGTAGATTTAATAAAAAATAATTTTGAATTTGTAAGCACGCATATCTTAATAAAAAATAAATTTCGAGTTTGTATTCCCAAATACCGAATTGAAGAAAAACAATATCAATCACAAACTTATAATAAAAAATTTAATAACAAATTTTTTTAATTTACATATTTTAGAGCTCGCGCGGAGACATTATCTTCAATACCCCATAGCAGTAGTCGGCAAACCTACACTTTTAAACGATTTATATTTTAGCAATTTTCAAATCTGAGTTTGGAGTTAAAAATTAAACTTTCAAATTTTAAATCTAAAAATTTTGGAATTGCATAAAAAAATATGCATCCTCTCACAGAGATTTAGGTCATGGCTAGTATTGAACCGGCCAAACTATGCACATTAAAAATAAAAGTACGTGCCCTTTCCTACAGGGCAAGTGGAAAATGCAATTGGAATTTGCATGGACTTGGTAAAAGGCTGCAATGCATTTCATTGTTGCTATTTCGTTTTAGCTCGGCAACTGTCATATGCTCTGCTTTCTCTTTCTATCTTTTGTTGAAGAAAGTGCTCACTTGCTGCAGCACGACACGCATGCACACGCACACTTCTTTATAGATGAGAAACCGGTTCAACTGGTAAAGACAACAATGGTGGATGATATTTTGGTTATTCGTTGTTGTTGTTATTGTTTACTTCTTTTCTATTGCGATAAGTTCTTGCTACTGGTGTTGTTTTTTATTTTATTTTGGAGAGTTACACATGTTTACATATTGTACAAATTTATCGTTTTTGTTGTGCACAGTCCGTGTTAAAATTTTGATAACCTTTTCATTTACCGTGTCCGAAACAATTGGTATTGCCTCACCAGGGTATGTAAAATTGGTGACAATTTGCCCATACGACGTCTTTACACACCCTGTTGACTAATTTTTTTTTTCAAATATAGTAGTTCGAAATTTGAATATTCTTGAAAGCAAATAGAAAATAATTTACAAAAAACAACAACAAAAATAGATTTGTCTTGTAGTCAAACTTAGAGAAGATTCTCAATTTTGTAATACTCTGAAATTCCTTTATAGTTCTTTATTAAGTACAATATATTGTCACCTAAAATGCAAAATAACGTAACATCACTTTTCATAAGTTTACAGTTTACGATGCAAAATAAAAAACGACTCGTATTGAAAATAAATTCGACTTTTGGTAATATTTTGGTTATATCCGATAGCAGAAGCTTAACTTATATAATAAAATATAGAGCATTTTCTTTTCTCAATCAAAATGTTGCCTCAATATATGGTAACATTATATAAATGTTCCATATTTTGATTTTTGATTTTTGAGAAACTAAAACGCTAATTTATTATCTGCTAATAAAAAACTCAATTCCGAATATTTTGATGATATGTTTATATTATATATATATGTATTGCATTATAGTTGACGATATATTCATACATATGTATGTCGGGGTACAGGAAAACTCAGTTCCAAGCCCACAGAAACAATCTAACAAACTACGATCAGCTGATTCATGGATGGTATGGCTTGAAAGATAACTTCTGTAGATCACTTTAATTGGTCTATATGTTTTAAGACCGCGTTCATCTTTTCTGCCTACAATTGGAAGTTCTTATGGGTTTGTAGCCGTGTCCGATTGACTGATGGCTGATATATTCCATTAGAAACTTTTTCACTCCGAAATTTGAAATGTTCCCTAAAGAAATAACCGATTTGGTGCTTGAAATGCAATGACTAGGCAATACTCAACATAACCTCTTTAAGGGCACATACTTTTCACATTTTTTAGTCAAGTGTTCAAGCGCAAGTAGAAATATAAAAACATACAAATGTATATTTGCCTCTATATACACACAATGTTATACACAAGATTTATTATCTAGCGGTATATCTACATTTTTTTCTGTTTGATTACAAAATTCCTTACATTTTTAATTCACCCGCTTCACTTTGATTTAATTTACGTCACAATTTCATATCAAACTTTTATTTATTAATTTTATTCCATTATTCGCTACTGCATTTCCGTTATAATATGACATACATATATTCATTCATAAATGTATTTATGTGTTCCGTACAAATCGCATACACGAATATTGGCTTTACATAAAAGATATAAGCCAAGCCGTTATCACAAAACTTTCCGCAACTGCTCGCTTGCATGCAAACGACTTCTATTCTATCCAATCGCACCGGACGCACTAAGCGCCACTTCATACTTGCTGCATGCACTTGGGCCCACCAGCCACAGCCAGCCAGCCAAACGGTCTCACTGTATTACAACAAAACATCCACTGAAATGCCGTTGTGGGGAGTGGCTTTTGTGTGGCAGTTGCCATCCATCATTTTGGTATCCACCGAAACGCACATTAACAGCCGGACATGCGCATTGCCGCCATGCTTACATTCACCACTGGAGGAGGAGTTTGCTGCCTTCAACCACATGAAACAGCGCCGCCGCCAAGCAAAGCGTAAAACAACAACAAAAGCGCCGCGTAAACTCTCCGCTCTTCTGATTGGCTAGCAGCTGTATTCGTAGTGTATTTTTTATTGTTTGTGGCTTTGTCGCCCAACTCATTGTGGCCTTGTGGCAATAGCGTTGCTGTCGAGAATTGTACATGTTGATTTTATGTGCTGGCATTTTAGTTTATTCGCTAACGTTTTTCGTTCGCAATTTTTTTACCTTTCTCATTTGGAGTTTCTTTTTTAAAATCAGTTTTTACTCTCTCGCGACTTTTTGTTTTGGTATTTGATAGCACCTACGTACATATACCTGTATGTTATTTCTATATTTCGCGGGCATTTTTGACATTTCGCTTTATGCACATTCCTTTGCTCGCTTTCCACATTTCGCAAACTTTTTTTTTTAACTTTTTTCAGCTCCAGCGCCGCTGTCCGTCGTCCGTCGCCTGCCTGTGTTATCTATCACCCTGTCAATCATTGTGGCAATGCTTTTTGTTGGACTCTTCACTTTTGACCATATTAGTTTTTATTGCCGTGCGCTGAAGCTCGCTTGGCATTATTTTGCTACTCTTTGCGACTTTTAATGCGTTCACCACACAGCAGATAGCGTAGCCAAACAGCAGTTTATTTTAAGTCAAAGTTTTTTTCAAGTTGCAGTGAAATCAAAACAAAAGTTTTCGCAGAACTTTGTGAAGTTTTGAAATAATAAATTGACACATTTAAAAGTTCGAAAGGGGGAAATGAATAAAGTTGGGCAAAGCACATAAATTGCATATTGTCGATTCGGTGTGCTAAACTAATCATTTATGGAATACTTGATTTTGTATAAATAAGCACATTTATGTTCATACATGGGTTGTAGATATATTATATAAATGAACATATACATACATACTTATGTGTACATATGTATGTACGAGGTTTATTTATCGGAAAACAGTCGTTTCGTTGGAAATTTGAATACTATATTAAATTGATCATCAATGAACTGATTTTACAAAATTCCTATTCCACTTTTTTAAGGATGATATACACTTGTGACTTTCAGAAAATACTTTATGCATATACATATATCGAATGTACATATATTTGAGAATATTTTTCGGAAATTTGAAGTTAAGTCAAGCACTTGTAAAATTTTTTGAACCTATATTTATGGGTAATCGGTTAAAAAAAATTTTATATAAACGCGTTTTTTATTGAAGCGCGGTTTTCAAAGACGATGAGGAAGTTTTCTCCGAAACGGTTGAACCGCTCAAGTTGAAATTTTCACAAAACCTTCATAGTTATAATTTTTGGGTAATGATTGAAGGGATAATATTTTTGATAACTATTTTGATGTTTTAAGTCAATCTGAAGTGTAAATTTTGTCATAAAAAACGACTTATGTTTTTAGGAAGGCACCATATTGTCTAAAATTCAAATTTTGACCAGTCCTTTGATAATTACTTGTATTTATCTATTGTCATTATACATTTTTCTGGTTTTTGGATTCGAGATAATTTTAAGCAAAAAATCTTTCCAGCAGAAAAAACCTTTTTTCGGAGTTACTCCTGGAGATTGGCTACGGTAGAAAGGGAATTCGAGATTTTTCAAAATTAACTGCTAATTACACTACTAAACAAATCTGAAGAAAAAATTTGCCACTTATGTGCCACAAGTTATGTGAGGGTATTTGAGGTGTCCTGATTACGAATTTGAGTTCAAAAATGTTCCACCACGTACAGCCATTTTTGTCACTTTAGTAAATTATGGTGATTTGAACCCTGCATCCCTTAACTACAACACAAAAAATCTTATATATAAATTAGGAAATTTTTAGTATCATTTTTGGTTTGCGCAGCCCAAAATTAGTAAGAAACAGCTTCTAATATCACAGTCGCTCAATTAATGTAAACTAGTGTTATTAAAGCAAATTAAATTCTATAAATGTACGTGTTTTTATTTATATATTAAATACAATATATAATAAAATCTTTCACTCTCTATGCCGACAACAAACACAACCAAATGGAAATACAAGAAAAATATTCATTGCATTTTCCTCCAAAAATTATTGATTATCTTTATTTGTATTCTGGCACAGCGAACCTTTGTGTTTACGAAACTGATCGGCTTAATTGCTAATTGAAATTACGAGTTAACGTGTTTATGGACTCTCGACTATAGCGGAGACTCTTTTACTACTATTGTTAATAGAGTTTTTGACTAATTTTTCCTCAGTGGGAGCGAATAGTTGCTTCCGTACCATAATGTAAATAAGCCCGTATCCACCTACTACTTCACACCTCATTTCAATTTTTATTGGCGATTATCATGACTACGTTCCATGATCTTTGTCGAAATACATTTCATAGGACCAGCTATGCTTAATAACAGGTAAGCTCAGTACAGCACCTCTTTATGTATTGTTTAATCTATGATGGACAATTCTTGAGGTCTCTACATTATATTCATCATGTGACTGGCAGCAGGTTCTGGTTGACGTCGAATAATGCATAGGATGTTGGTAAATAAAGAGCTTTTTAATTTTATCAAATTGGTTCCAAAATCCATATTGTGTCTCGGACCTTATGTATGTTAAAATAAAAAACTACTTCATAACATAATCGTATGAGCCCGAGCCTTAACCATATTTTGTTCAAGAACTTTGCTTTCAAATAAGTTCTGAAAATAAAAAAGCTGATTTCAATAGAATATGTTTAGAATTACATGGGTTTCCGTGTTTCTGCAAGGTAAAAACAATTGGAAGTAAAATGTTTTCTCTATATCCTTAGCAAATATATGTTCCCCACACATCTACAAATGTCATCCTCAACATAAAAAGTATTATTATACCCAGCCTAATGCCATTCCAATAAGATCAAACGTTTTTGGTAATAACTTAGATGAAGGAGGAGACTTAATAAACAACAAATTTCACTGGAGGAAGTACTGATATGCTCTGATAATAAATTAATTTACTAATAATAACTACGGAAATATCAACTAACGAAATATCTTCAAAAATATATCCATAAAAAGAGAGACTAAATTACGTAGTTTTCAGAATTTGGCAACACTAGTGCTGCAATCTGGCAACTCACAACATTATCGTAAAGTTTGACAGTTTTAATGTTCTACATACTAAGAACGTTTTGAGATACGAGCACAATTTGTGTTGTTTAAAATATTCATCTCGATAAAAAAATGGAATTAAATCGCGAACATATAGCTTGGTTATTATACCTTGAACAGGGTATATTAAGTTTGCCACGAAGTTTGTAACACCGTGAAGGAAACGTCGGAGCCCCAATAAAATATATGCATAAATGATCAGCATGATGAGCTGAGTTGATTTAGCCATGTTCGTCTGTCCGTCCGCCTGCCTGTATATATACGAACTGGTCCCTCAGTTTTAAATCTATCGATCTGAAATTTCTCACATGTCCTTTCCTAACTAAGAAGCTGCTCATTTGTCGGAACGGCCGATATCAAACCACTATAGCATATAACTGCCATATTAACTGAACGATCGAAATAAAGCGATTGCATGGAAAACTTTTTTATTTGACGAGGTATCTTCACGAAGTTAGATCGAAATCAAGTCCTTGTAAGGAATCTTTGAATTTGTGAAGGGTATTATAGCTTCGGTGACGAAGTTAACGTTTTTTCTTGTTTTTTACAATTTTCGACGTGAATTGACTCAGCAACAGTGCGTCGAAGAATTTAACTAAATTTTTGGCGATGAAGCATTGTTTTCGATGGTATGATAAATTCAAACGAGGTCGTAGATCATTCCAAGACGAATTTCGTGAAGGTCATCCAAAATCAGTTGTGTTTCTGGAAACTTTTGATGCTGTGCTCAAACTGATATTGCAAAAGCGCATATAGGCATTGGGGGTACCAGCATACATTCAATATTGCGGGAGCATTTGTTGTAAAAAACTTTGTTCACGTGAACCCCACACAATTTGTCAATCGCTCAAAAAAAGGCCCGTGTAGATTGGTTTCTACAAAATCAGAAGCATATACCTAAATTATTACCATTTTCTGTCGCTTGGCTAGAGTTTTCGTCATTATCAAAGAATAACTGTAAAATAAGGCATATTTTATCATTGCTGGTGTCCATCTTTGACGCGTGCTCAAACAATACTGAGTCAAGCAATCACAAAACTGTCTGAGAAATATATATATACAACTATCGCGTATAAAAACTAAAAGTAATTAAAATTGAGCATTAAATTTTTATACTTTCACCTAAGTAAAATATTTCCATCTAAATTCATAAAGGAGTTCTTTGACAATAAGCGTTTACGCAAGAGGTTTGCGGACTTCATGAAATACAGTACAATTCTACTTTCATAAATAGTACTACTCCAAAAAATTGTGAGAGTTTTTCCAAAACGCTTGAGAATGTTTATATAGATTACTGCTGGAATTTATATATTAATTTTAGATCTTGAGTAAAGAACTGTTTATAATCCAACAAATGTTCGACTGCCTGGACTTTTTCACATCATAAAAGTTTTTGAACAACCTACAATTTATCCTATAATATTCGGTTTGCCGGAATTCGATTCCACAATCCTCGAAACATAATACCTGGCTTACTTTTATTGTTACAATTATTTGAATAGTATAATGTATTCCACAGGGTATCTACTCAAAAAACAATCTTATTTTGTCATAAATATATTCTCTAAATGAAAATTTTACAACAAATATATGAAAACATATGATACTTCATGATTCTAAATATTCTAATTTCGTATTATTTAAGCTTTGTATATACCCGTACAACCGTACAAACAAATATGTAAATGAAAGTGCAATTTCATTAACTCAATTCGCATTTCAATTAAAAACACCGGGAAAACTTAATTATTTAATACAACACATTTCAACAAAAACGGCAATAATTTTTATGCCTTCGACAATTTCAATGCCTTCATTTAGGTAGCTTAACGTAACACGCCGCGCCACCACGCCACGCCACTCGCTCAAAAGCAATTCTAATTGTAAATCTCCGCTTAACCACAAATTCAAAATTCACAGCCAACTGCGACAGCGATAAACTGCCGTGGACCGTAGTTCGTGGGACTATTGCCTTACGCGATTAGCCAAGAAAATTATAGATTCCATCTATGCACTTAGAAAATACTCCGATTTGCACGCTCAATCGCCTCTGTTACGTGATTATACGTGCTATTGTTGTTGCTGTTTGTGTATGTGTGTTTGCCGAAATGGCATTTAGTTTTGTTTTCGAGCTTTTCAGCTCGTTTGTGGTTAGGTAGCGCGGTGCAATATGTATGTATGTGCGTGTCGATGTACCATAGAATTTCAAGAAGCTCTGCGCGCTCATCCACACCGCAAGCAATAGCGGCGAGTGAATATTTAATTTAATTAACAACAAGACCCATTTAAATTGTATCTGGCGAGTTGGCTGTTCATTACCACGACCGCAGCAGCATTTGGAATTTATTGTTATTGCTGTGCGCAACTAAATATTGTCATCGAAACAAGTTCTGAGAATTGCAAGCAACTAAATGCAAATGAAAATGGTAAGACACAAATTTTATACTTCACTTTCTTAACTAAAGTAATTTTGTAAT